GAAAGGGCAGCTTGTATTGATCTTGGAAAGAAGAATTTCAGTAAACGACATATTTTAAAGTACTATTTACTTCACAATAGTTTATTATTATGGCAGAGGAAATAACAAATAAAATGTATATTATTACTATATTTATTAGTTGATATCAAAACGAAATTTGATAGACACGGTAAAATTCTTTTAGTTTGTCTCAATAGTTAACGTCAATAAACGAGGTTAAAAACTTTATGATTATACGATTAGTAATATAAATAAATAATATTTAAAAAATTAATATATACCGTAATTAATTTGATAGATATGGCATACTATACTACTAGATTATTATATTATATGACATGCTCTGTTGATCATAGTAATAATAGTAATATGAGAATCCCTTTGTGTGGGGACTATCATCATAGTAATAATAGTAATATGAGAATCCCTTTGTGTGGGGGGAATATCACTAAGCAAAACAAAAATCGGTGCCATGCAGATAATTTATTTGAGTATTGTTATCATAATGTTGATCGCTCGAAACAAGCCGTAGTTTCACTCTGAAATTATGGAAATCTACCGAGGACGTTCAGTTGGCGAGAAAACGATGGGGTGCATGGTAAGGGGAAATAACTCTCCAGCGCGGCTTCAAGGATTACTGCCGATAGTCATTCTAGATGCCATAGAAGAGCACATTGCTAACAAAACAGGGAGTAACCAGAAAGAACAGGGTTTTACCAAGGCAGGTAGAATCGTAGACCCAATGTTTGTATTGAAAAAGGTCACTGAGAAAGCTAGATTGTGATCAGGGAAATAGGGCCTGCGTTTTACCTTTTCAAATCATTTGTTTTTCTTGTTTTGTATTGTCTGCTGAAGAAGGCGTTTAGCCGAAACATCTTTTTAATTTTTATGTCTATTTTTTTTAAAGCCTAACATAATTCTTGTCCCACGATTTATTTAATTCACACGGCTTGAACGTAGTCCCCCATATAATCTCATTCAGCAAAATGATTTGTGTCACGCATTGTAGTGGGTACACAGTAAGTTACACTTTCTAACTTTACTTGCAAATTTCTTTGCAAAGTGTTTTAATGACATGACATTCATTTTTTATGGGGATTAAGAAAAAATAGACAAAAAATTTATTAAAGTAAAGATACAGAGAAAGTAATTAAGCTGATGTCCTGTCCGTTCGTTCACCATACAATTAAAACATTACTAAAAAAATTTTGCCCCCCTCCCCCCTGGAAAGTTAATCGACTCTTTTTTGCCCCCCCCCCCAAGAAAATTTTCTGTGGGCGCCCATGACCCTAAAATGATGCGAATGGGCACTTTACCACCCAACTTTTATCGAAACAATCCATCAGGCACTTTACCACTCTTCTTCTATTAAACTAATTCATCAGGCACTTTACCACTCTTCTTCTATTAAACTAATTCATCAGGCACTTTACCACTCTTCTTCTATTAAACTAATTCATCAGGCACTTTACCACTCTTCTTCTATTAAACTAATTCATCAGGCATATTTCCACTCAAAATTTCCACTCAAAAAAGAAAAATTTAATTATTAAAATTGAAAACCAATGATACAAATATGGGAGGCTTTTGATTAGTCCTACTCTTACTCTTTCCACCAAAAGCTTGAATAAATTAGAAAATTACAGATTTCAATTACTTTATTGTCTGCATTATGGTTCGAACAACATATATGTAATGTATGATAACTGGGAAATATAAACGTATACACTTTAAAATGAGTAGTAGTAGTAGTAGTTTGGGGGCGTCCATTAATTACGTCAACAAAATAGGGGGGAGGAGGTTTAGAAATGTTTGACAGTTGTTGACAAGGGGGGGGGGGATGACGGGGCGGGGGCGGTGTAGATTACGTCAACCTTTTAATTCATTCTGCATTATACAATTTAATGTTAAAAATTTTTTTAACTTTT